ATCACTTTTGTTGTCTTGTCTCTGGAGTATCGAACCTATGATAGTTATCATAGAGATAGCTTTACTCTTGTACTGTCATCTTAGATGTTCCATTGACGTTGTCTTGCCATAGACCATACATCATAGATGCTAAGATCGCTGTTTCCGCCACTATGATAAATGTAGCGTTGTAATTCCTAGTTTTGAAAAAAAAATGCCTTCGGCTGATTTTGTAAACTTATCGCCACCATTTAGTGCGCTTGTCAAAATGCTAGCGCGGTTAACTCTCAAGGAATTGAAGCCTAGTGCGTCACCTCTTTTCAGAACACTTGACCGACAAGGCTTGGGTGCAAAATTTGTCAATAAATCCAATAAAACAGTACAAGTCCTTGAGCGTATTCCAATGTAAAGTATATCTTCGCAATTCTGTGTTCCGTTTACCAAATTAACAAATATATAACTAACCACATAAATTTTTTAGTACACTCAGTCTCGCCTATTAGCACCTTTCTCCCCTATGGCTGTCCAATACAACTCAAAATGAGCAACCTATTCAATACTTTTATAGCAAAAAATGTTAACTTTAGCTCGAGACTGTGATAACTCAATAATGTTTGACAAGGGCTATTTGCCGCTTTAATGACGAATGACATAATTTTGTGACAATCAGAATAGAACACAAATACCAACATGCGCTTTAATGCCATGATTGCTCTTTAGAATACTTGTGCAAACAAAACTATGAGCATTTAGAGAAATGAGGACCGATTTCACGGTCAGCCCGATAGGTCAACACAAACTGTGCTATCTACAGGAATCAAAATGGGAATATTATTATAGGATACCAGCAGAGCGCGCAAGCTTAAGGGCCGTATGCGTGGATTGTTCACTAGGAGAAGAGAAGAAGCAGGGCACGGAGCATATCAAAATAATTATTCTTGCTTTGAAAAGGGGCGTCTTACTTGTAAGAATGAACTCCACTGGGTGTTAGATCCGTAGAGGTTTGTGAGGGGTTCATTTACTTTGAATATTTCTGCTTTAAAGGTCCAATCTCCAATCATTATTTGCTACGAAATTACTAAGCTAGCCCTTCTAAGGATGCTTCCTCATGTTCTCAAAGACCTTATTTCAATTCTCATCAGTTGAATAGCCTTGCCTTGCTGCGCGGTGAAATTACCATTGCTTGGGATCTTGGAAGCACGGAAGCCTCTCAATTAAGCAATATGTTAAAATTCATAGCAACGCTGTAACAGCAACCGCTGATCAAGTAGAACATCCACAGAAGGTTATATAAGTAGTTTTTAGCAAATTCAACGAAATTTTGTGAAGATAGTGTAATAAACTCGCATCCGGATATTTAGCACTCAGATTCGCATAAAGGACAACGCTCCTCGCAAACCCCAACCGATCATCCCCGATTATGACCGCTTTCTACATTATACTGATGAGTTGTTGATAAGCTTATCAACTTGGTGTAGAGGGAGGGACCTTCCATAAATGAGAGCTAGATCGATCTTAAGGTCTCGGTATCATGTAAGTTTAACAATAGCGTTATAGCTGGACTGCGAGTGATTACTCGTATATTTCGTGATAATCAATAGAGTTTTTTTGGAGGAAAAACCATATAACGAGATGGACAAGAGAACACTTATTATGTAAGCCTGAGGCAAACAAATACTAGGCATCAGAAGGATAGAAAATTTGACTGGATGAAGTGACCCAGGATAGCGACAATTTTGAAACTTACAAAAAGGCTTGACTGTCCAACTGATCATTCACAATTCTCATCAAAGCGGAACTTCTACGCTGTTGATTCAGATCAAATAGGCATGTCGCGCATAGTTTTTAGCAAAAAAATGTTATTACTTTTCTTAAAAGCGGTATTTCAAACCAATAATTTCGTACAGATTACCCAATATCTATTATACTCTGAAGCAATCAATCAATATCTTCTTCAATACTTTTCCTGCCAATTTTTCAATACTGAAAACTTCAAAAGTACAAGTTGGAAAAGTTCTGAATATTTTTCCAGACAGCCTAAGAATTCTGCAGAGTCGGTCTTCATGCTCATCATCGCGATCACGATCTCAACCGCTCCTCGACCGGAACCCGCTTTCTTTCGACGACATCGTCATCGCGTTATCGATCAGCAAAACAATCGTTCATGTCTTTGCCTTGTTCATAAGAATTACTACACTACTTCACTATTTTACCTATTTAACCTTTGTACGAGAGCTTGAAGTTGAAGCTTGTAGCAGCATGTCTGACGACGAATCTCCTAACGATATTCTCTACTACGCAGCTGAGGGGAGTCAAGTAAGTTTTCCAGATGTTTAAATCTTTGGACTTAAAACTTAAATTCAGTTCCCATAGTTGCAAACTAATTCCTCGGGAATTTTTTAGCAAACTTTTGTTACTTACTGATCAGAAACTGTTCTGCTATTCCCTTAAATTCTTGGCAAATAGGAAACTGCTCTCTCGTTGCTTTTAGAAGAATAAGAGAAAGTTTAGTAGATCAGCTTGAGGCATAAACATACTTCGCCGATTAGCAAGTGGTTCTGGAACGAAATGCTCTACAAAATAAGGATGAAAGATAAAATTCCGATTGAAAAGCATCAAGATGTTTCGGACATCGTGGCCTTTCGCTTGATTTCTTAAATATATTAATTGTTCAAAATTTCATGCTGATATGGAAAGATTGGTGAAGCGACACCGGGAATGGATAACACATCGTGACAATCGAGGTCGAACAGCGGCGATGCATGCAGCGATTGCCGACAACGTTCGCAATTTGCAGTTTCTCATGAGGTGAGAACAGACTGGGCATGGCTGACAAAGCACTTTCAGTTTTGCTATTGAAATCGTTAATGTTATGCAATAGGAAGTTTTAGTAGTAGCACGCTAAAATACTTAATCTTCTTTAAAACTCAGTTCACGAGCATAAGAAGAAGTAGTGAAATATACCTAATCACTGCTGATATTGGAAGTAGACTAGAAAAGTGAGTGGTGAATTACTTTTCAACATGAGCATCATTCGATAACACGGAACAAATGTTAGACTATAGGAAGA